GGTATCTACCACCACAACCACCTCCACTACCACCACCACCACCACCATGTTTACTTCTGTTGTGGACCACCTCTCAACCCTTTACTGCAGGTGTTCCCTGGATGCTCCCACCCTTGGCTCCAGATGCTGAGATTTGTCACAGCTTCTCCTCCACCAACAAGATTAGTCCTGCAGACAGCAATCTTGGACATGGCCACCCAGATGGTTCACCATAGGGATCATTGGCAGGACCATGGCTTGTCTGGATCAGTTGCCCACAACACCGTCCTTGCCTGAGGGTTCCATTTTGATCCAGAGAAGGATATATGCCCAACTAGTCAGTCTTCTCTCTCAACATCTTTTGGGATGTACACTTTATTGTCAATACAGAATCTCTTGATCTCAATCACTCTTGTCCATGCTCATGGACTACATGTTTTACCACTTGTACAGACATCAAAGACCTTGTGAAGGACAGCTTGCAATGAAGGACCACAAACTTGTGGTCACTTGAAATGAGAGGTCCAGTCATTGAGAAAAGTGATTTGGTTTGAGACAACACAAATACGCAGCAGTCTAGCATGTCAAAATCACACATGCAGATCCAAATCTTCAAAACTGCCCTGTAAATCAAAAAATGTCAAATCTCACACAATTTTAGCACAACAAAAAAATTGTGACCTCTCATTTCAAATGACCACAAGTTCACAGTGAGTGTGGAAGTACCATGGCAAGTGGGGAAGTACCATGGTGGCAGCCAAGCATGACATCAGATACCAGGCTGTTCAATAGCTTACTCACATGCTGTGCCACTCATGCACATGCACACCACAATAGGCAATGACCTGAATGACAACAGTGGTGGTGGGCAGGTGGGAGGGTGGTGGGAGCCAAGCATGACATGGTACTCTGCATGTGTACCTGGCCATTTATTAGCTCACTCACACAATGCACCACACATGCATGCACATGCACACACAGACACACAATAGGCAATGACCTGAATGACAACAGTGGTGGTGGGCAGGTGGGATGGGTGGACAAATGAGCCAAGTGTGACATGGTACTCTTCACATGTGCCTGGCCATTTGATAGCTGACTCACATGATGTGCCACCACACAGAAGGAGGACAGGCAGAGGAGCAGATGAGTGGGCAGATGAGTGGGTGGATGACAAGTGAGCAGTGCTAGGACTAGGACTGTAGTGGGTTTTTTCCATTAGATTCTCATTTCCTCAGACCTGTTGTTCGCTTGATTGGGTGTGCGTTGTGTATTTGTCGTGATGGAGTATAAAAGGGAAGGACAGGAGTGGCATACACATAAGTCGACATGTTCGGTCCAACAAGCGTGTTTCATTTTCGATGGCTCAACATCATGTACATCGTCTGTTGGCTGGTGATATCCTTCTGGCTGTTTCGGGGCGCCTACCACTACGACCGGTTCTACATGGACTCCCACCCTACAGACATCTTCTTCTCTGAGGATCCGCTGATCACTCACATTGCTGATCCCTCACCATCGGCTCCTCCACCTTCACCATCTCCCTCTCCCTCTTCATCTCCTTCACCAAGCCAGGCCCCAACTTTTCCTCCGGTGGCTGCGGAGATCTACGCCAACCACTTCAACGTCTATCCGCACAGTGACCCCCTGTACCCTAACCGATCAGTCAGCAATCATCACCCTTACCTTCGTCACCTCCTCAACCATTGGATCCACTTCTCCGAAGTCCTCGGGTTTCGCTACGTCGCTATTGCCGGCACCCTCCTGGGCGCCATGCGCAA